AAGCATGTCTGAGCTGGCATATTATTGCCTGTATTTCACATTGCTGGCTGGGCAGTGCATCCTTGTTTTTGAGACAGCACTCCTGTCAAGCAAGCAAGATGCTACACTGGACAAAATATTCAACTAGATTCAGCAGCTGGAAATGCTGGAATACAGCTTGGTGTGCTGATCTAATGAGATCCAAGCCCAGGCATTTCCTGCCTACCATGTTCTGTTTGTTGGGGGGGTTCATTTTCTGGGGTCTTTTCTATTTTTCTTACGTACTTTTGAGGAAGGATAGCCAGTATTACTATGTATGCAAGGAACACAGTATCAATTTGTATGTTTTTACTTTTACAGCAATCTCTTAATTTGCTCAAATAGCAGAACCATTTTGGTTTTGCTCATAAATAGTTGATTCATGTGAATGTTAGAAAGTCCATTTTGGTCACAGGATCTGAAGTACTGTCTGTAAGCAGTATAGAATTTTTTTTCAGTAATTTTACAGTATAGGCCACTGCTTGCGATAGATGTCTTCTGCCCATGCTTCCTTTCAGGCAAACAATTAGCTCATGTTTCTTTGTTTCTTTCAAACTTGACTCATGCAGTGTTGGCTGTTGACATCCTATTGTTTTGGTTCTGCGCAGGTTGCTTTGCTGAATTTGTGAATTTCCCTGGTCTGTGTCATTTAGCTAATTACCACTGCTATTACAGTCCTTTAGTTTTCATGGGATATTATTGTAATACTGTTTAGCTTTTAAAATTGGGAACCTGTGCTGTGAATCTGGCTGACTGGCAGAGCACAGAGGGTCGTTGTTGGTGGTGCAGAGTCCGGTTGGAGGCCTGTAACTAGCGGTGTTCCTCAGGGGTCTGTGCTGGGTCCGGTCTTGTTCGACATCTTCATCAATGACCTTGATGAGGGGAAAATGGCCACCCTCAGCAAGTTTGCTGATGATACGAAGTTGGGTGGATTGGCTGACACGTCTGAAGGCTGTGTTGCCATTCAGCGAGACCTGGACAGGCTGGAGAGCTGGGCAGAAAGAAACCGGATGAGGTTTAACAAAAGCAAGTGTAGAATCTTGCATCTGGGGAGGAATAATTCCATGCACCAGTACAGGCTGGGGGATGACCTGCTGGAGGGGAGCTCTGCAGAGAGGGACCTGGGTGTCCTGGTAGATGACAGGTTGGCCATGAGCCAGCAGTGTGCCCTTGTGGCCAAAAAGGCCAATGGCATCCTGGGGTGCATTAAAAAGAGCGTGGCCAGCAGGTCGAGGGAGGTGATCCTCCCCCTCTACTCTGCCCTGGTAAGACCTTATCTGGAGTACTGCGTCCAGTTCTGGGCTCCCCACTACAGAAAAGACAAGGATCTCTTGGAAAGAGTCCAGCGGAGGGCCACAAAGATGGTGAAGGGCCTGGAGCATCTCCCCTATGAAGAAAGGCTGAGTGAACTGGGTCTGTTCAGCCTTGAGAAAAGAAGACTGAGAAGGGGACCTGATCCAGGTCTATAAATATCTGAGGTTTGGGGGGCAGAATGGTGAGGCCAGACTGTTTTCAGTGGTGAGTGGAGACAGGACAAGGGGAAGTGGCCGGAAACTGCAGCATAGGAAGTTCCACACAAACATGCGCAAGAACTTCTTTACAGTGAGGGTGACGGAGCACTGGAACAGGCTGCCCAGGGAGGTGGTGGAGTCTCCTTCTCTGGAGATGTTCAAGACCTGCCTGGATGCCTACCTGTGCGACCTGCTGTAGGGAACCTGCTTTGGCAGGGGGGTTGGACTCGATGATCTCTGGAGGTCCCTTCCAACCCCTACAATTCTGTGATTCTGTGATATCCAATTTCTAGTGGCTTGTCTTGGAGAATTTGTCTGGAATGCTGGGCCTGGATTTCTTTTGTTTGGTTCTTTAAGCTTTTTTTCCAATTGAAGACTTTATTTTTGAATTTTGGTCACTGGTAACTGCCAAAGTCTTGTATTTATTTATTTTGTGCTACAACAAATACAATAATATTTTCAATAATATAATAATATATAATTTAATTATATATTACAATATAGTATATAATACATTAAATTTCATATAATGTAAATATGAATAATAATTATTATTAATAACAAACAATATAAATATATAAATTATATATAATATATATAATTTAATAATATAATTCAGAATACACAGAGCATTACTGCTTGATACCACTGCATCATATGCTCCAACTTCTCTACCAGATTTATTGTTTATTCTTGTCTTAAAGTGACATTTTCAGTGACTGTTTTTCAAGCAGTTCATCAGCAGTTAAGATTGCTCAAAGGAGAGCTGATAATAATTTATGGCCATGAATTTTTAAGTGCAGTGAATTTTTCAAGTTGCTGGTTGATCTGGCAATTGTATGTTTATAAATATATTGATGAATATTCTATTTTAATCAGATTAGTTTTTTGACTTGCACCTTTTCTGCTAGAGTCATTGGGGAAAAATGTGTATTATTCCATTAGCTGACAGTTTGAGACTTTTTTTTTTTAAACCTCTTCACGTTTTTTGTTTTGAAGCAAAGCTAAATTCCATGTCTTGGTAGCATACTATGTGAAGGCAACAGGAGAAGAATTTGCTTTTCAAATCTGTTGTGTTTAGTTTACATGCTCATGTATCTTCTTTGATTTCTGTATTTGTACTCTTTCTTCAGTTAGTTTTTGCAACTCAGTTTCTTGTACTGTTTATAGCTGGAAGCGACTGCTGAGTGCATCTCTCTTGTTCCGTAGGTAAAGACTAACGTCCTGGCACTGATGATGATTATTTGTCCTTTTATAGATAATCCCTAAGCACCTGGTTGGAAGAGGCATGAGAAAGCAGGCAGATAATGTCTACTTCCAAGCCTGCACTTATGTCTCAGCAGGGATGTGAGAAGAGATTTGCTCCCAACCTGGGCATGCTGTATGTGTTGCAGTGTAACTTTTAGTATCAAGCAACAGCTTCTACTCATTGACTGTATACTAGCAGATCATCGTAACCATTTTTTTGGGTGGTACAGAACAAAATTCTGAATGTAATAAATGGCTGCATAATCTCAGATGTTTTGATGCATCTAATGGTGACAATGTGTACTTGTATGTTAAAGCACTGTGTGCATCACGGGAAGTGAAGGCTGTGATAAACCTGCTAGCATAGGTAGTAGCAACCTCTCAGCTACTACTGTTTTTCTGTTATATAGGACAGTTGTGTATGTTTGGAGATGAGAAATGATATTCTCTGCATGATGCTGGTGTCCTAGTGGGCCTCTGTTGTGTATCTGATGGGCAGGAAGCTACCCTGATCTTGTCCGATTGCTGTTTATAAAGCTGGAATGTCTTATCAAAATGAGAATGTGTGGCTCTGAAAAGCCTTTGTCAGTATGAAAGCACGGCTGAGTGAGGATGCTCCTTCTGCAGGCAGAGGGCAGGGCACAGACAGAGAGGTCCTGGTGAGGACCCATGAGAGAGTCAGGGAGTGCCTCAGGCCCTTGCACCACTCAGTGCAGCTGCAATTCAGTCACCACGTGAGGGATGCAGCATAAACTGCATCAGTTAATAATTTTGGTGCTGATGCAGCTCTACCAACAAAATTGCTTTTTACCTGCTTATTGCTTTTGGAAAGGGTTTTTAGTGTACTTGTAAGTAGCTTAATTTCTGCTGGACTAGCTGCCTTTACTCTGTTTAGCCAGAAGCCGGCACAGCTGTCATGGTAAAGGTCTTCTTGGTTTGGCTTAGCACACACTGGGGCTGTACCGAACAGCAGCACTGAAAGATGCGCTCTTGTTGCCAAAAGAGAATTAGAGAAGCAGTCAGGAGGCATCAAATAGAGAAAGGGGCAAAGTAGATCGCTACTCTGCTACATGTGCTGTACTGCAGTTATCTTAGGTGGGGGGAGGCAGCAGTGATCAGGGCACAGAGGAGTCAGAGGCTACAGAAAATTGCAGGCTGGAGGTAGTCATTCCAACCTGACCTCCTTCTTGGGGAAACCGTAAATGCCAAACTATTCATTTACTTGTTTCTACTTTCTTGCTTTTCCAGGTACATAGATGACAGTGAGCTCTAAACAAAAGAGAGGGACAGAGCCTGTGAACAAAGCAGGTAGTGACAGGCACAGCCAGCCAGCACGGTTCACAGCAGAGCCCAGACATGCAATTAAAGCAAAATCCAACCCTACTTAGAGCAGATCGACTGGAGTAGTATTGTCATTTAACCTCTGACAGCTTTCTCAGGCTGTAGTGGTGTCAGCTCTCTCTGGGCTTATTTATCTCAGTCATTAATAAGTCATTAGAGCCATTCAATTTCCATATGGGGATATGAGAGAAAGGCATGTCTGGGTGCTCCTTGCTAGTCAGAAAAAAAAAGGCTGCCAAGGATGAGGAGCCCGAGCTGTGCACAGCAGGCAGAGATAGCTCTTTGGTCTCTGGATCACACTCAGATTCATTAGTTTCTGAATAAAAGCTGAAAAATGCTTTTATATGGGGGAGGAGATGCGGGTAGCTGTAAGTCTGCATGCTTCCAGTATATAGTGAGCAGCTCAGAGCTGCAGCCTGTAAATAGATGCACATATTTAACCTCTGAGAAGGGCTGTAGCTGTCTGCTGGAGTACAATAAGAATAGTAATACTTACCATTTAGAGTGTGCTTTCTATTTTCAGAGCTGTGCCAGCATTAGGTATTTTAATGTAGCCTGGTGGGTAATCTAAGCTGGTGGGTCATGATAAGCTTTCTGATTTCAGAGTGGGGGAAGCACATCTGAGCAAGTCCCCTGAGTGAGAGGAGGCTGAGACCCTCCCTGTTCCGACTGCAGGTTCATGGCGTCCTCAGCCCTCTCCCGGGAGAGGCTCTGGTGCGGGAGCTCGTCTCTCACATCTGACCACTGGAGCCCTCAGTAATTATAGCGGCATTGAAATTCCGGGCTAAAAACAGAAGTGTAGCATGTGCCTGTTCCCCATGTGATTCAGAAACCAGGAAATCGAAGGAGTCTGGCAGAGAGGAGAGGAGCGCGAAGCCATAGACACATCTCGTATTTGTTTCAAACCTGCTACGCCGGGAACTCGGAGCTGTCATCTACTGGAGCTGATTATGCATGCAGCAGCAGCGGAGCCTGATTGGGCGTAGTAGGACCTAAGGCGAGGGGGAGAGGGAGTGGGGAGAGAGTTGGGCTTGCAGCACCGAAATGTAAACAGTGCGAAGGCAGACGGAGCAAAACGCCGGTGGGCGCCGAGCCGCTCACCTCTCGCCCATTGCCCTCCGGGCTGGATGAGCAGGAGCAGGCACGGCGGGCATCTCCTGCCTGTGGATATCCATCGGGGCAGTCGGGATGCGCTAGCTTTCTCCAGCGCTGCAGCTCCGCCGTGCTCCGCACCGGAGCTCGGACGGGGCAATGGACATGAACATGAAGAAGTTCACGGTGCGGCGGTTCTTTTCTGTGTATCTCCGCAAGAAGTCTCGGTCGAAGAGCTCAAGCCTAAGTAGATTTGAGGTAAAATCCGCGTTAACTTGTTATACGCAGCGAATACCGTTACGTGCTGCTGACAGAGATGAGAGAGAATGCCTGCGTTTGCTGCTGACATGGTAAATAGTTAGAGGTGGTCTTTCCCTAGAGCTGCTGATGCTCACACCTGACGTTCTTTGTTTCCGTGTAATTCAGGGCTTTTCCTTGGGAGCCTTCAGTATGTTGCATAATATATTTAGTGCGTTGCTAAGGATCCTTTTATCAGCCTGGCACAGGGGGAGGGAGCTGATTCAGGACATCATGAAGTTGTGGGAAATACTTACGGATTCACTTAAATTAGCACAGATGGCACCATGACTTGCAATAGCCTCATATTTTAATCTTCCTCCCCTGCAAACGTATCATTACTTCTCAGTGCTAGATTTCCAAATAATCCATTTGCTAGTGTCTTGCATATCTATTGTATGCAACGTAGAGATTTTCTTGCTTATTTTTCCATTGATTCTGGTGCTTACACAGATTCTTGCATTCATCTTCTCTTCATGCATCCTGTTTCTTTCTTTCTTTTTTTTTTTTTTTTTAATAATTTATTTATTTTACTGTAAGAAGTTGTGTTCTTCAGAAGCAGGGGAGCAATGTCAAATTAAACCTAAAAAGGTTTGGCAGCATCAGGAGATAAAAAGCAGTTCAGGTCAGAGTTATTGGTAGATAGGAATGTGTGAATGGGGGAGAAGCAGGATTTCTGCCTCCCTTCCTTGGACCATTGTTCTTCAGCCCTATATTTGGAGCTGCGAACAGTCAGCAGGAAGTGAGATCAATCGAATAAATGTCAGTTTTATTTATGTTGTTCACTTTATCATTGCAGATAATCTGCAACCTCTGCATTTAAAATAAAGGTGGATGAGGCCTGATTCTCCTCTGGCACACATTTGTTTTACACTGGTGTACTTCAGCTGACCTCCAAGGAGTTACTCTGATTTGCACCGGTGTTCCCAGGAGGAGGATTAGTCTCATGCTGTGCGAATACATTTTAAAATGTTACTCCCTTAGTGTCCTATTTAAAGCAGTAGGTAATTGTCTAGACAAAGTTCTTCATATGTCATTGCTTAAGCAGGACAGGAAAAAAAGCTGAGTTTGAGGCTGATCTTTTATTCTTAACTCTTTAAAATCAGTTTCCTTGAAAAACAATTGGGTAAGATGTATCAAACTTTGTTTCATTCGTTGGGAAGTCACTCTATATATTTAAAACAAACAAATAAATGAAAGCTGCCATCAGTTGATCAAGCTCCCTCCTTTCACCAACCCCAAGTGATTAAGGAAAAAGGGTTCTGAGCCCCAAATTGCAAAGTCTATGCTGACAGAGATATTCCTTGTAATGCATTATAAATTCACCAGGGTCGTGCTGCAGCAGAGCCAACAGAAAGTAGAGTTTCTGAGTTGCATGAAGGAGTTCTCCTGTGACAGCTGAGGCTGCCAGTGCCAGAGTGCGATGCTGGGAGGGGAGGATAGGTTTTTGATACAGTGAAGTCCTACTAGATTTCATAGCTTGTCATTCGACAATGCCACAGTTTGAGAGAAACAGATTTCACCATGCTGAATATTTAACTTGCTGAATAATTGATATTCAATAATTCAGTATCTATGGTATTGTTTTTCCTTAGGTGGGTCGTCCTACATCAAATTTATTTTCTAATCTTAAATAATTTTTAAGTAAGTTGCTTTGAGAAGCATCCTGATATGTACCCTGCTGCACATGTAAGTTCAGAACATTGCATTCACTTCTCCCCTCACTCCCTTGACTTGGCAGTAATAACCAACTTTATGCAAAGTAACTCAGTGTTATAAAGCAACAGGGAATAGGGATTGTTCCAACCAGGAAGAAAAAGCAATTCATGAAATCTCTTCTGCTATTTTAAGTGTGAAAATCATCAGAGACATTCCTACTTAGAGGGGGAAAAACAAAGCATGAACATCAAGCCTCCTCAGGGATTTCTATTCCGGAGTACTTTTGTGTTTAAATTTGCAGCTGTGGGCTAATCAGTGTTGTACAGCCAAATAGAAAGTGCAAAGAAGTCTACTGGTAGAAAGATCTTGAGAAGTCATAATATTCTTCATCCTAATCGGTGGATATTTTACAGAGGCAGTAAAAAGGCATGGGTGGTTACCTCATGAAGTGAGTGAAATAAAAGGAAGAAATTTGGAGAGAACTCACGTGACATTGCTTTGCTTAGCTAATATACCAGGAGGAAGATACGTGTTGGTAGATGATGTCTGAAATTTAAATTTTAATGCTGTTTCTAAGTTGTGGAGGATTTTCTTTCAGTGTTCTTTTTGAAGGTTGATGAAAGGGGCTGAAGGCTTTAGGATAAATATTCCTGGATTCAATCAGTTCAAATTTTAAAAATACCACTGTAAGAATAGGTTCAAAATAATGTAACATCAGTTGTTAAAATAATAGGATTGGTTAATTTTTCTGCTGTAGTATTTTGCTTTAAATTGAGTTGCAATGAGCTTCATAACTCAGAGAACATGGATATAAAAGTAGAAAATGACTTGGCAAATCACAACTTGTAGTTTGACCTTTCCTTAGTCATTTCATATGCCAATATAATTGCTGTATCTGATACAACAAGATCATTGCCCTGCGTAGATGGCTGTTTCACACAGTTCTGCTAAAGAAGGCAGAGCACCCTGATGAAGAAGATATTGCAAGGATTTTTGTTTCATCTTGCCTAAAATGTATGCCATTTTTATTGTTCTGGGAAAACTTGGCTGAAATTTGAACTTCTTTGGCTGCACTTTCAGGTTTCAGTTTGTTATTTTTCAATATGGCCTGCATTGCCCTTCATTTATAAGGCATCTAGTGATGTAATTTTATTAAATCCACAGAGCCAAGTTCTGCCCTTCTGTGTGCACACAATTCTTATTGAAGTCAGCTGAAAATCCAGTGAAGTCAATGGGAACTGCATGTGTGCATCCGAGAGAGAAGGGCTTTGTTTATGGTTCTTGCTGAGTGTTGATGAACGTGAATATGAAACCGCCAGGAGAAAGTACACACAGCATGGCTGTACTAAAGACTTTGAACCTCAGTAGAATGCATCTTACGGCAGTGAGCAATATTCCTTCATTTATAAATTGAAAGTTAACTATGCCATTTCAATAAGCTAGAGAAAAATCTAAGCATGCAAATAATTTGATTATATTTATTCCAGTATGCAGAAGCCTTTCTTGCTTTTTTTTATTGTTATTTTTACTTCACTTATTTTTAAGGAAATGCCCAATTAAGCATTGCCATTGATGCTTTTCATAGATTTTTTTTTACTTTTGCTCTGCTTGTGTATTTTCAAATCTTTATTCTTTAATGCTTTCAATTCTTGTTTTGTCTTACTGCTAATGGCGGATCTAAATTCTACTTGGTGTATGTACGGGGCTTAAAGTCCACCAGAGCTTCAAATTAATTTGAAGCCTAGTGTCTGTCATCATAGCCACCTGCAAGAGGTGAGACCTCTAGTTGGTGACTGGAATGTGGTCCTCCTTGGGTTCCAAAGCTGTTGTGTAAGGAGTTGACACGACTATGAAGTCAGGTAAGGAGTAGTACAGCAGGACTGGCACTGGATTTATAATACTGTTATGAGAGATTTTCAGTTCTTGCCTTCTTGAATTTTGATTTCCCACTGCCTTAAGTTCCGGCAGCTTTAGGAAAGCATTCAGTAAAACTGAACTAGACGTCTCTGTTTGAACACTGGGCTGGAACAATAGTTCCCTTGCAAGCACTTGTGAACTCTTCTACACTTGTCCAGCAATATCATTCTTTATCAGTAGTGCCTCTTTTATTCTGCCTTCTCTTTTTTGCTTTTATAGATAACCGTCTTTCAGTCAAGTGCTAGAAAGAGGCAAGCTTAAAGAACAAAGATGAGAATTAGCAGCCCAAGATGAACTATGCAAGTTGCAAGTCCTGAAGTGGCTTTAGGACTTTTTTTTCTTGGTAATTATAATCTCTGCAATGCGTGTCCTTGCTACAGAAGTTATCAGGGCCATTGTAGTCTGATTTCCCCAGCTGCAGACGAGACTTTTATGAGGAAATGTTGCAATTCTTGTAATCTTGCATTGCCTGGCTAGGGGGAGGGAGAGCAAGGCAGGGGAATTGAGAGCTTGTTATCCATCAAATAGAGTCACTTTGAGGAACCAGGAAATCTTACTTTGGAATTCATTTTTATGACTTGCTGTGTCCTTACAGACAGACAGATCTCTGTTCCTCATGCTCTCCATTTGTAAGATAGAAATGATGATGACTGTCCAAATTCTTTAGCATAAGGCTACCTACTTAAATTGGGTTTTGTAGTAAGAGTGCACATTAATAAGAGTGCACATTGGTCTACATGTAATGAAGAAATGGCGCCATTTCAAATGAACAATATGTTGTACATCAGACCTGCTATGTGTTCCTCCCACCAAGTCTCAAATTAACGAAGCTGAGCTGCAGAAAAGGAAAATTAAACAGGAAGATTATAGAAAAATAGAGATTCAGGTTGGACATTAGGAAAAATTTCTTCTCAGTAAAAGTGATCAGGCATTAAAATGAGCTGCCCGTGGAGGTGGTGGAGTTGCTGTCCCTGAAGGCATTCGAGAAATGTTTAGAAGTTGTATGGAGGGATGTGGTTTAGTGGGAAATACAGGTGGTAGGTGGATGGTTGGGCTGGTTGATCTTAGAGGTTTTTTCCAACCTTGGTGATTCTATGATTCTATGACTTTCAAGCACATGACCCTGTGCCAGTATAAGCAGCATTGTTTGCATATGAAGGAAAGGAAGACCTTTTTCTAATGGCCTCTTTATTTCGAAGGACCCTATCTTGTCAAAGACCGATTTAGATTGTTACTTTATGCTCCATTTCCACCATGTAAGAGTCTGCATGATGTCTTGATCTGATGGTATTTGGCATGCAGTCCAGAAATGATGAATCCTGTCCATGGACTCTGTCACATTGATTCTGATATGTCACATGATTGAATACAGACTCCATTCACAC